GGCGCAATACATGCTATCCCATGACAAAAACCATCGACATAAATACATACTGGAAATCAAATAATTATAGAGTCTCAGGTTTAATTTTAAATTTTGCTAAAATTAAATTTTGAGAAGTAATGACTTTCTTCTTAAGAAAAAGAAGTAAGTATACTATTTACATCGAGTGTATTGAGAAATTGAAAAACTGTTTTAAAATATCAATTGCGTCTATGTACCTATATAGAAATAAATAGCTTTTTTGATTTCCCTGTCTCATACATGTCTCTATACATCTCTGGTGATAGCAGGAAAATCTTTGATACTATAGTTTGATGTATTTGAAACTACCTAAAGTATTATAAATATTAATGTTTTTGAGGTGCGTTTCTGGGATGACTTTATTGGAGGATAGTTCATGCGATTACATGAAATTGACTTGAGAATACCAGTCAGAAAATCATAGTACGTGATTTATTTTTATTAGACAAACACGAAGAGTTCTCCCAAACTTCCCTCACACTCAACACTGATTCATATTTATCAATATACCAATAGTATCCACGTTCCGCCGAACAAGATGGAACCTGCAAAAGCTAGCTGGGTCGCGTTTACAAAATGCTTGGATAAATGGACCGGACCCCCCTCTCAAAGCTACACACTATACATAGCCCTACCATGAATATTGATACAAGTGTAATGTCATCCTGGTGCCTTAGTCGTGGACTAATACGCACCCTGATGCGTATCACCCTGCCTTTAAAAATCTTTCTATTTTTCTATTGGCCGAGAGATCAGAATTCCATATAAATATTAAAATACTTATAAATATGTGACATTTTTCTGCTCTCGGTCAGTCTGGTCTCGGCTCCCAAATAGGGTCTCTACACCCTGAGAGTCTGCGATTCTTTTAGACTCTGTGGCTGGATAGTTTCCACCCTTCAAAATGCTGTTTTATTTTAATTTCTGGTGTAAAAAAAACCACCAATCGAAGTCCACACAACAGTGTGTACTTCGAATTGACTAGTCGAAGTCCCCCTGCAAGGCACCGTGGAAGTGTTAAGTGGCTCTGATTCTTCAAGCCCTTACGTCCCATATGGTGAAATGGCGCCTCACGTTGGGCGCCATTTCATCTCGGGGGGTAACATGACGGTAAAACCGTCTCCCACCATACGCTCTACTCTAGGATATTTCATTAATCTGTTGTGCAAAATATCCTAGGCACTTATCCCTTTTACATGTTGGGACGTTGAATCGTTTCCAAAGGATTGTTAAAATAAAACTATTTTGTAGAAGACGAAGACAAAGCCTCAGAGTCTAAGGCAGGTGGAGCAGAGCCCCGCTAGTCGGCTTCCTAGAGTTTAGGACTCTAGGAGAGACCGAGGTAGACTGTCTTTTGGCTTAGAAATCAACTAATATTTATACACAATATTTTACAAGATTCCAAACCAAATGAACAATGAGAAATTAGTGTGATTAGTAGAAAGAGTGCTCATTTTTCACTCTGACCGAGCACTTGGCAACAGTAAACGCAGCTTGTACGACTAACAAATTGGACTCAGCTAAAAGTTATGTTGGCATAACTCACTGCTAACATGTACATTATTAACACTCCCAAAACATTTCAGTCTACTTTGAACCATTACGATATAGTTTACAGACAAAGATACTATTATTATCATTGCTCTTCATAATTGTGGAATAGAAAGGCTTGCATTTTTGAATTACCAAAACCGTTAAATATTACCCGTGTTTTTATGTATTGTACTGTTAATTATTTGTGTAGTGGGTATTTAGATGTTGTCATTTTTCTGCTGATAATATATTGTATTTCTTGATTGTTGTATTGAAAATGTGTGATAATCTTTGCAGCTCGTCTTCTGTCTCGGCGATTAATGCGGCGTCGTCTGCATAACATAATATTTGGATTTCTTTGTTCTTTATTCTGTAACCATGTAAACCGCTAAACTGCAAAGAATAATCGCTTTAGTATGGCTACATATGGAGCCAATTCTCTTCGTCAACCATTTTCCATTTACTCCTGAATGTAGGTCTCTCCCAATTGGTTTTATCTCTCTCTATATTGCGTCAATCTAATCCACGGTTTACATGACACTGTTCTAATGTCATCTACTCATCTCTTTTGAGATTTTCCCTTGCTTCTTGTCGTCCTCCTTGGTCTTTAATCTAGGATTCTCTGTGTCCACCGGTTATCATTATATCAGATTGCGTGACCGACCCAGCACTATTTCAACAATATTCCTGATCTCCGTTCTGGGTCTTATCTGGGTGTTTCTAATATACTATATAATAAACAATTAAAGTATAATAAATTTGTTTGTATTACCAACTAACAAAACAAAATAATTTATTTAATTTGTATTTTGAGAACGATTTCCAAAGTGGAAATTTAAACGAATTGTTATCCAAAACTGTGGTTAATTCCCATTGAAGATAGTAAATAATTTTAAAGTGACTTATAAAATATGAAACAAAATAATTTAGACTTATTGCAATGCTGTAAAATTATTAATGCAATCTATTTTAGAACAGCCGATAAAAATACATAGATAGGTTATTTTTCTGTCAAGAGCGGTTTCTGATAAAAATGATTTATGAGTAATCCTATCATTACTGAATAAATTATATAATAAAAATATTTAAATCTGTAAAATTTTACACGTTAGATGAGAGAAAGTGAGTCACATAGCAACAACTAAACGATTTTCGTCAAAATATCTGATGCGATTGAATTCAAAGGATTAATAATTTTAAATTCTTAAAAATAGTATCCAGTTTTGACCCCTTCTTCGATTATTCACTTGCATACAATGTATTTATATATATTAAATGAAAGCTATTAATTATTAAAGTTGAAATGGGAATACGCTGGACATGTAGCTAGGAGCGATCTAAACAAATGGCACAGATCAATTTTAACCTGGAGACCATACCAACACAAAAGACCCAGAGGCAGACCTCCTATGAGATGGACAGATGATCTGAAAAGGACTGCCGGGAAAAATTGGCTACAAGTAGCGTACAATAAAAAACAATGGAAAGGAAGACTTGAAGAGGCTTATGTTCAGATCTGGACGTGAGTGGCTAGACGAAGAAGAAGAAGATTAGAGAAGCCAATCATTTTAGTTAGGACCAGTAACCTCTATTGCTCTCCTTTTAGGACTTTTGACCAATTAGTATAAAACGTGGGAGCACCTTTTGCGATTTATAGATCCTTAATGCAACCTTATAATCTCTAGATGCCCAGTCAAGTCGCCTAGTTTTTGGTGCTGAGCATATGTTAGCCTTACGGTACTTTCTATATAGTTGTGTCGAGGAGGAAGGTCCAAATTACCTCTAAGGCTGCAATGAGTCACTCTAAGAGACTCCCATACAAGGCAGTCTTTGCATTTTTTGAAATTCCACTATTTCCTTTGACCGCTTTGTTTGTTTTTTCATCAAACCTAAGTAGGTAACTGTGGATATTCTTCGTCTTCTTCTTATATTAGTCGATTTAACCTGTGCTTCACCAATTTTAAACTTATATTCATAGCTGTGATGTTGACTCTCTCTCTCTCTCTCTCTCTCTCTCTCTCTCTCTCCTCTCTCTCTCTCTCTCTCTCTCTCTCTCTCTCTCTCTCTCTCTCTCTCTCTCTCTCTCTCTCCTCTCTCTCTCTCTCTCTCTCTCTCTCTCTCATCTCTCTCTCTCTCTCTCTCTCTCTCTCTCTCTCTCTCTCTCTCTCTCTCTCTCTCTCTCTCTCTCTCTCTTTTCGTCTCTTTGCTTTTATCTTTCTTAGAAAGCACAGATAAAAGCAGAAATCTGAATTGTGTTTCGAAACTATTTTACGATTGTTAAATTAGATGTCGCTAGTGCGTCCGTATTCGAAGCCATGTTATTGTTGCTTCTTAAAAGACAGAAAATATTGATCTTTCACGTTGAGAACACCTTTGAATAACTGTTCTGATGAGACCTATTAGGTCGAAATACGTATCAACAGATACAAAGGCGCTGTTTGCGTGAAATCAAATATTTGCTGTCTTTTTCACTTTTTTCGGATTTACTCTATACGAGTACAAGAAACCAATTCGCTAAGGATTTCTGCTAAGTTGAAAAGATGTGTCGTGGAATGCAAATTTTAGATTCCCCACGTCTCTTTTAACACCTTTATCAACGTCTGTTTTGCTTTGCAATTTTTTAGAAAGCACAGATAAAAGCAGAAATCTGAATTGTGTTTCGAAACTATTTTACGATTGTTAAATTAGATGTCGCTAGTGCGTCCGTATTCGAAGCCATGTTATTGTTGCTTCTTAAAAGACAGAAAATATTGATCTTTCACGTTGAGAACACCTTTGAATAACTGTTCTGATGAGACCTATTAGGTCGAAATACGTATCAACAGATACAAAGGCGCTGTTTGCGTGAAATCAAATATTTGCTGTCTTTTTCACTTTTTTCGGATTTACTCTGTACGAGTACAAGAAACCAATTCGCTAAGGATTTCTGCTTAGTTGAAAAGATGTGTCGTGGAATGCAAATTTTAGATTCCCCACGTCTCTTTTAACACCTTTATCAACGTCTGTTTTGCTTTGCAATTTTTAGAAAGCACAGATAAAAGCAGAAATCTGAATTGTGTTTCGAAACTATTTTACGATTGTTAAATTAGATGTCGCTAGTGCGTCCGTATTCGAAGCCATGTTATTGTTGCTTCTTAAAAGACAGAAAATATTGATCTTTCACGTTGAGAACACCTTTGAATAACTGTTCTGATGAGACCTATTAGGTCGAAATACGTATCAACAGATACAAAGGCGCTGTTTGCGTGAAATCAAATATTTGCTGTCTTTTTCACATTTTTGTTTCACTTTTGTATTTAACGTACTTATCAAACCTCTCTTGTACTCTGACGACACCACTATTTATAGATAGTGATCTTATGCAGTTAGTGCGTTTTTTCATTCACCAATGTTTAACAAACGATTTATTATGTATATTTTTTAATGTTCTATTTATTTTGTTGCAGTGGACTCAGACATGACGATGGCGGCGTGTAACAATTCCCTAACGGCCACATTAAGTAACGTTAGTGGCGGCGTTAACGCCATCAGCCAACAGTGTGCCATTTGTGGAGACAGAGCTACGGGAAAACATTACGGAGCCGCCTCATGTGACGGTTGCAAAGGATTTTTTAGGCGCTCCGTCAGAAAAAATCATTTATATACGTGTCGGTAAGTTAGTTTTTTTTATTTATTTTAGTTTTGTTTTGCATGTCTTCTCATTTTTTTATATATAATCAACAACCCTTCTACCCTAAGGTGTTGAGTGTAAAGTCTCTTTTTAGGTTTCATATACAAACTTCCTCCAATTTTTCTTGTTGCTTGCCAATTTCTTCGCTTGCTCCTTGGTGACTCCTCTCCTGTCTAGTATGGCGGCAATTTCATCGTCCCAGGTCTTCATGGGTTTGCCCCTCGGTCTTTTCAAGATTCTTCTCGCTTCCCACACTTGTTTCACTTGGCTTTTTTTATCCATCCTTACCATGTGGCCGTACTCAGTTGGGCTTCTTTAATTTTTTTCTCTATTGATTGAACTTTAAGGCGTTCTCTTATTTCATCATTCCGTATCCTGTCCATTCTGGTCACCCTAGTACTCTTCTTAGATACTTCATTGAAATACTTCGCAGTTTATTTTTTAGTTTGGTGGTGATGTAGATAGCTATCTTTGCTTTTTGGGATACTTCTTTTTTCGAAAGGAATGTGCTCTTAATTGCGTGGTATATCCGAGAAGCGTTTGCTATTCGATTGTTTATCTATACTTCTTGTGTATCCTTACTCTCTAGTTGCCCTCCCAGGTATTTGAAGGTTTCGACTTGTTCTAAAGTATAGTTATTGATTTTAATGTTTGTATGTTGGTCTGTTTTCCCACATACTATGACCTTGGTTTTAATTTCATTAATTCCCAGATTACGTTTTTCAAGTTTATCTCTCCATATTTGGAGGTTTTTCTCAGTGAAGTGCGTCATCGTTTCTTCCAAATACGACGAGGTCATCTGCAAATGCGCACTCCGCTATCTGTATCATTTCCAGGTTTCTATGTCCAACAAATATTCTCGATGTTTCTTCTCTAGTTTCCTTCATTACATCATCTAGTACAATATTGAACAGGATGGGGTACACCTAGTACACCTCCTTGTCGTAAGCCATCATTGACTCTAAACGCTTCTGATTCCATATTATCTGTTCTTACTCTGTTTCTTGTGTTCTTGTATAGGCTCATAATAGCTTTTCTGCGTTTTCTGTCTACTTCTCTGTTTCTTAGGCTTTTGTCTATTTCGGTTCGCGGGGTTCTATTAAATGCTTTTTCGAGGTCTATAAAGGCTTGGTATAGTTCCGTGCTTGTATTTCGTGCATTTTGTATTAGATGCTTGAGTGTAAAAATATGGTCATGGATGCTTCTTCCCTTCCTGAAACCGCTCTGTGACTGCTCCAGCTTATGGTCTACTTCTTGTAGTAGTCTTTTCTTTAGTACTCGTTCGTAAACTTTGGAAGGGATACTCAAGAGAGTTATACCTCTGTAGTTGCTGCATTCTCGTCTCTCACCTTTTTTGAAAATGGGTAAAATAACCCATTTTCAAAATTTCCCATTTCTCACTGATGGATAGGTATGGTAGGAGGTAAGGTCTTGCATGTGGATAAAATTCATTCATTCATTCCTAGTAGAAAGCGTTAAGGAAGTTCCGGTATAGGGCCTTTCTGATTTGAGACTAGCTAACGATATATTTTTCTTTATATCCTTTTGGTTTGTATTTCTTGGTTGTATTTAGTACTGACTCTTAAACTATAAGATAATTTTTACCAATGGACGATATTCATCCTAATCATCATTGTGAAGAAACATGAATAATCACATAAAATCGAGCATTGGTAAAGCAGGTCTAATGCAATTGATAGATTATTGAAAGTTCTAAGTCAGTGGCAGCTTAGAAAATTATAAAAACGTTAATAATAAAGAGTATAAATGGAAACATGACCATCGACACAATTGGTAAAGAATAGTGAAAAGATTATTACAAGAACTTGTTAACAGAGAATAGAGATACATTTCTTAATGTTAAATACTATCAACCAAAAGCCTTTTATAAAAAAATCCAGAACTCGTTGCAACAAATAAAAAATAACACGTCACCTGGTTAAACCAGTAAAATAAGGCCTTTGAGGAAATAAAGGCTGCTAATACTAAAATGGTTTCAAAAAGGAGTCTCTTCGATGTTAATAAAAGTAAAGAAAGACTCTGGAATATCAAATGAAAAGAGAAAGGGCGGGCTATATAACGATATAGTAAAACAAAGATATGACATATTAAATGTAAGGAAAGTTTACGAAAAATATCTTCTTCTAGTTCCACCCGTCCCCCATCCTGTTGACCACCAACTATCCTATCCCGTTGACTATCCTAATGTAGTCGATTTTTCGTACTATTATCTTAGATTTGTTAACTATGCTGTTATTCTTCCAGCAGGACTACGTGTACCTTGGATCTTTTCCTGAATGATCAGATGCTAAAGTTGATATTTTTCAGAGTGTCTCATAATGTGACCGAGCTTGACTCTCTTTATTATTTTGACTTCCTTTTCCTCATTTCTAACTCTTTCGACGCAACTTATTCTTCCCGTCTGTTTACCCACAGATCAAAGGCTTGAGTTTTAATCCATATTGATCACAGGTTTGTTTTGTTTTCTTTGTTAGATTTTCAAGGCTTTCTCCATAACTAGCCAGCACTAAGGTATTGTCGGCATATCTAATATTGTTCACGGTTACACTATTCACAATAATACCTTCTGTTGTATTTATTAAGGGTTCCTTAAATATTTCCTCTATGCAAGGTATAAAGTAAAGGCGATAGTATACAGCCTTGTCTCACTACTATTATATTTATTTTATCTGACAGTTCTATTAAACGTTTATTCTTACCACTAGATGTTGCTTTAAATTTGTAATTATTAGTATATAGTAAGTTACTCTCGTATCTTACCAATCGAACCTTCAATCGGCAGTAGCGACGGGCGGTGGGTACAAAGTGCAGGGACGTAATCAACGCGAGCTTATGTCCCGCGCTTACTGGGAATTCCTCGTTCATGGGGAACAATTTCAAGTCACACTCCCTAGCACGAAGGAGGTTCAGTGGGTTACCCGGGTCCCTCGGCCCGGGAGGACACGCTGATTCCTTCAGTGTAGCGTGTGTGCGGCCCAGAACATCTAAGGGCATCACAGACCTGTTATTGCTCAATCCCGTGCGGCTAGAAGCCGCCTGTCCCTCTAAGAAGAATCGTGTGTACGCCTACAGTAAAAATAGCGTGCAGCAAGAGCAGGAAACTCCGCCGACGGACCTTTGGGATGTCGAAATACGCCTTGTTAGTAGGTTAGAGTCTCGTTCCAGACTTCCATCAGATTGTCCAATAATCACTGCATATTGTTCTGAAGTTATTTTCTTGTGGCATTTTAAATTAATTACTATTTAATGGGGAATAAGCCACAATTAAAGATAAAAATAACAAAAAACAAAATTTGTTTAATTTACTGTTTGTATTTTGAGAACGATTTCCGAAGTGGAAATTGAAACGTCAATAAACGTATTTTTATCTTTAATTGTGGCTTATTCCCAGTTAAATAGTAATTAATTTTCGTCGACTTTAAACAAAATATTAAAGGGATTTGAAATACCGTCCAAACTAGTTATCTTAGACATCACACATTCCTTCAACGTATATTCACAGTCTAGAGGAAAAATGCCAAGTCCTAGACGTTAGTAAACTATTTTTATAAATACTTTAATTCTTCAGTTTTAAATTGAGATCATTTAACTTCAATGTCTCTCTTAATTAAACAAAAATTTCAAAATAAATATTACCATATTACTGATTACTCCTTCTTATCACTCCGAGATTCCTTGACCGTCTTTGTTTATAGAGATATATTTTTATTTTGAAATTCTTGAGATAGTGAAGAATACACAAAAAAGTTGACACAACCAGGAGGTATTATTACAATGTGTAATTTGTATATGAATTCACTTCGCTACATAAAAGATCATTACTACACATAAATTACAGTCACATCATTCATACCATTCATTGCAGAATTTTGGCACTGGGATATTACCAAGTTATTAGCGTTTATAGCAGTTCTTATAGCTTGCTCCAGGCCGAATTTTGGGAAGATCGTCTAATATTGGCTGTTATGCCGATGTGATGTGAAGAAACCGATGTGAAGAAACTGATATTTAAAAATCGTCATATGAATTACTTTGAGATCAAGATATGCTTAGGCATGATAGCTAAATTTGCCTACATTTAATACTGTATTAGTATTTGATTGTGAAAAAAAAAATTCTGAAATCTGAAACGCATTAGCACTGGACTATATGAATCTTACACCGAATCAAATGTAACGAAATTATTTTTCGGACGTTTCACTATCGCGCAAAAAGAATTGTTGAAACAAGAACAATATTCCTTTATAGCAAAGCAAACACAAACAAGTTAAGTTTTACCATAAAATCGAATTTATTTGTTGTGTTGTTTAACCTTGATTTTACATCAAATGTCTTCTTTTATTCTTTTTGTCAAAAATAAATTTTAAGCTAACATTTTTCGAGTCTCTAAAATTCATTTTGTAGTTAAAAGAGTGGAAATTGAATTAGCAGGAATATAGTTATGAATAGTTTTGAATAATTGCTTTAAATGATATAATTTATGATGTGTCTACTGATTTTAATATTTGTAAATATGTCTATAAATACTCGTTTAAAAAGTTTTGTAGATATTTGTGTGTAGTTGTGCAACTATCAAAAGCTAATTCCAATAACTGGTTATTATTATCTCATATTTTTAAGAAGCTGTTAGATTAAGTCAGTGTCTGTTGCTATTTTTTTATGAGCACCGTAGTTTTTTGCTATATGTATATTCATGGGTCATGTATACCTACATATTAGACAAATTAATTAAGACAATAAATAATAATAAATTTGTTAAAATAATAAAATTACCCGAATATGGTTGTTTTAAAACTTCTATTCTATGCAGTACTTCTTCGTTTGAGGTATGCGATGTCCATGAAATTTTGAGTATTCTCCGGTAGATCCACATTTCAAAGGCCTCCAATTTATTTACGGTTGATGTTTTAAGGGTCCACTTTTCAACTGCATATAGAAGAGTCGACCAGACGTAGCATTTTGATAAACGTAGTCGAATTTCGAGTTTTATTCGAGAATCACAAAGCAGTTTTTTTATTTTTTCGAAAGATTTTCTGGCCTGTTCTATTCTCGATCTTATTTCTAGATCAGCATTTAGGCTGCTATCGATCCAACATCCCAGGTACTTAAATCTATTGACCGGTTCTAAAATGTGTCCATTTATTGTGCAAGGTTGAGGTACGTTTTGGTTTTTTCGGATTGACATCACTTTGGTTTTTTTAATGTTTATTTTCATACCAAATTGCTCACAGGTCGAGTTGGCCTTGTCGATGAGTCGTTGTAGACCTAAGTCGGAATCCGCAATTAACACTGTATCATTTACACTAACCATCATAAAAATTACTAGGCTGAGAAAAAAATAGTGGTTTGTTCAGACAAATTGGCCATACATTATTTTCTTGTTGTTTTTGGGTGTATAAAGTAATAATCCTAGAATACTAACTTTATTTTTACCTTCATTTACACTAACAATCATAAAAATTACTAGGCTGAGAAAAAAAATGGTGGTTTGTTCAGACAAATTGGCCGTACATTTTTTTCTGGTTGTTTTTGGGTGTTTTTCTGCTGTCCTTGTTGGTTATAACTATACATTATCCAAGAGTTTATGCAAGCTATATTTAACATTCCATAGAATAGGAAAGAGGACATATTCTTGTTTTTCTAGTGATGTCTTTTCGCACATTTGGTCAAATTTATCTACTCCGTACTCGGTGGCATTATAAAATTTAATGATATCTGGCTTTCCTGTTAGATCACATTTTCGATTGTCGACAGAACCAGCCCAGACTTATTTACGTTTGCATTATACGATACCATTGTTGTTTCACCATTGAAACAACATACCGAATGACCAATTTCACGAATTTTCAGATTTATCCTCTCGTCGGGTAGTTCTCTTTTATTTTGCAGTAGAGTACTAACTATTGTTAATTTGTAAGGAGGTTTTAAGACCTTCGTTGCTAAAGGTACTGACGTAAACCAATCAGCCATGGTTACGTTACGGGTACTTCCGTTCACACCCTGAGTTGATTGTTTTACATCATATTCTCCTAGAGGCTGCCCCTTGGTTTTAGTTCCCTTTCCTAAATGTCTGGCTTGTTTGGGATATACATCTGGAAAGAACATCTTTCCTTAAAAGCAAGTAGCTGCTCATCGATTGTTAGGTATGATCTGGGCTTAGAAGACGTTTTGTAGTTCTGTATAAGATTATCCCATATTTCACGAATGGCTGTCAATAGGTATGTTTTCTTTCTGTCTGGTCTAGATAGTTTATCATCAAAACGTGAACATTCCATAAGAAATTGAAATCTTTTCCTGCATTAGTTGCTTTATATATCGCATCAGAAATTTTGTTATCAAACATTGATTGTCTTTTTGGGCAGCAGTAAAAATAAGTAGAATGAAATCGTAGGCTTCCACGGCCAGAGTCAGAATTATAGTTTTATTCGTCTTCCGGGTTTGTACCGTGTCATTTGTGAGTGACCCAAAAGTGGGTTCATCTCGACGTTTCGCTACAATTGTATGTAGCTTCTTCAGGAGAATAAAGAAAAATAAAACAAAGGACAGGAAGATGGGTAGTTAGCAACGGTAACTCAGTTACTCAACGCGTTAGTGTTCTGAGCTGTTGGACGTGAATCCCTGTCCTGGCATTTGGTTTTCACCTCTGGCTGCGTTGAGTAGTTGAGTTACTGTGACCAAATGCCCATCTTGGTAGTTAGTATTCGCCTCTGGTTGCGTTGAGTAACTGAGTTACCGTTGCTAACTACCCATCTTCCTGTCCTTTGTTTTCTTTTTCTTTATTCTCCTGAAGAAGAAGAAGAAGCTACATACAATTGTAGCGAAACGTCGAGATGAACCCACTTTTGGGTCACTCACAAATGACACGGTCCAAACCCGGAAGACGAATAAACTATAAAAATAAGTAGTCCTGGGAGTGCATACAATTCGTCAATATTTACTTTCGAGTTTTTAATAACAGAAATTTCAGCATTTATATATCCTACATTTTTTTCCATAGAATTTGGATAAAATATATAGCTGATCTATATGCTTTTCCTAGCTTGACTCCTTATACTTGATTTACTGACTGATGGTTACTTGATATAATAGTTTTGCCGTTGTTTTGACGACGTTTCGCCAAGGTCACACTTGCCATTGTCAAGGCAGATTAGATCCGCTTCTTCTAGGTGTTCGAAGAGAACTGAGAACTTCGAACATCCGAACATCGTCACAGTTTGTTTAATATGGGCATATCAATGATAATATGCAACAGAATTTTTAGTAAAAATATAATATAAACTATATTTGTTTAATAAACTCAATTCATGTTTTCTTCATAATTGTGTTGAATATAATTTCATCAATGGAAATGTAGTTTTTAATAAAGTAATGTGATAGTTTGGGCTTTTGTTTATATTGTTTTGGAGCTATTGGCTTGTGGCTCTTAAAGTAATTACTATTCTAATGGGAATAAACAACAATTAAAGTTTAAAATAAGTTTATTGACGTTTCAATTGCCAGTTGGGAAATTGTTCTTGTTTATATTGTTGTAGATGGTTAGTAGTTGGCATATTCATTGTCTATATGTTGATTCGAGTTTATTATGTAACATTAGTAAAAATGTTACATAATAATTAATGTTATGTCCTTTATATATGGAAAATTCAAACATGAAGACGTACTGTTGCCTCTTATCCCAATGATGCCGACATATATGCCATTCGAATTCAAACGTTTACAGTTCCCGGTGGTACTAGCTTTTGCAGTGACTATCAACAAAACAGAAGGACAGTTGTTGCAAGTGTGCGGATTAAATTTGGAGAATTCATGCTTCTCACATGGGCAGCTCTATGTGGCCTGCTCATGCGTCGGAAAACCTTCTAGTTCAGTGGTCCGCAACCCTGGTGTCGCGATCTTTATGGGGTCGTTTGTGAAGTTTGTGGCTAGACGAAATCAGTGCTCAAAACTACGAGATGTTTGCATGTTTGTAGAAATTTTCTGAAGAAAACAATATAAAGCTCTAAGAAGAAATTAAAACCAAAACCATCAGAAATCTTACAAGCCTTAAGCAAGACTTGGTAATACGATTGCCAGATACGTCACACGGCGACCAATGGAGAATTAATCCATTCACTTGTGATCTTAACACGGTGAAGATGAACTTAAAAGAAAAGGAGCAACTGATCGATTTATTGTCCGATGGAAGCCTTCGATCTGTTTTCAAAACCACGGATCTATCCAAGTTCTGAATAATGATGGAAGATCAATCAAAATATCGCTCCAGACTTAACGTAGAACCTTATTTTGAGGGTGTCTCTTTCTGATAATATGTCACCAACATGAAGGATAATTAAAGTTTATCTTACTTTCGTCCTGAACCAACCTTTGCACTTGTTAATTTAGTGTTTTTTTTTTCGGGGGTCGCTCATAACTCTTTTTTTAAGTTTGGGTACGCAATATCAAAAAGGTTGAGGACCGCTGTTCTAGTTTATTACGCATCAGAAGGAAAAACAAGAAATATTGTGTATCCCACATCACTTCAATAAATATCAAATTGAAGCGAAATGTTGCAATGTCATTTTTTTCGAAATGAAGAAAATCAATAAAATTAGTTCAAAATAAATTGGAGTAAAGCTAGTTCTTAATAAATGCAAGTTTGCTATTGTTTCAATCATGGACGTATAAACATAGATGGACACAGCAATAAGATACCTTTAACACACAATGTTTTGAAGCTTCGATAGAATGTGATGCTTCTGCAATGAGCGTAAGCGTGCTTGAATTTTTACTCTCGTGTAATTATTCAGATTTTAAAAATTGGAAGTAGTAATAATGTATAAAAACACGTTCAAAGAATTAAAAAAAAACAAGAGTTTAACTATTAGCAAATCACGTCTTTATAGAAAAATTAAAATACAATTTTATTTGCTTTAAAATTAATACAATTAAATATAGTTGAATTCAAGTTAATTTTTTAATAGGTATTAAAATAATGTTACAATAAAAAATCTTTATGTTTTCTTCTTAATTTGCTACCCAAATAGTTCGATCGTCAATATTATTTGGAAACCTACATAGAAAAATAAAAGAGTTTTATTCATTTCACTAATTTATTTGTATCCATGAGAAATATTAAATTAAAAAGGTACTAAACAGATCTTTTTTAACCAGATGATGTCTACTTACAATTTATAAATGTCTACTAATTTCATGAACTCATATCTTATTCAATACATTGATTAACATGATTAAACCCAATGGTACGCCTATTAAAATGTAAACAAACACGCTTCCTCATTTTCTCATCTGAAATAATGTAAATTGTATGTACTTACAAATGAAATGAGAGATCGGGATGTAAATATTTCGTTTATTTTATTTCACTTTTCACAAATATCACTAAAAATATAGCCAAAATATCGAAAAACAACTTTTCCTCATCTACTGTAAAAGTAAACAAACATGGAACAGCATTTGAAGTTTGACGTAGATCCATAAGACAGAGAAATGTAAACAACCGTTGCCATTTATAAATAGTTTTCAGTGCTTCTACATATAAAATAATTGATTGATATAATAATATATTATACGCTATTATTAAATGATAATGCACACTATGTGCATACTTGATATTTTGATTACAATTAAATATATTAATCTAACCAATAAATTATTATTTTGGTTTGATAGCACCTGTAGAGTATAAAATACGGAGTAATATTTTCAGCGACTCGCGAATAAGAAATTGTGACAACAGTTGAAGGTGCTGAGAATGTGACCTATTCAAATAATTTTGACTACACAATTTTATGTAAATAACTGAGTCCATCTGTGTTTATACAATTGTATTCATCAATTATATTGATTCTATAAATTTAAATTATTCATTTAAATATACTTTTTTTTATTTCAGATTTAATAGGAATTGTGTAGTAGATAAGGACAAAAGGAATCAATGTAGATATTGTAGATTAAGAAAATGTTTTAAAGCCGGTATGAAAAAAGAAGGTAAGATATTCTTGATATTTTTATACATACCTAAGTTGAACTTTTACGTAGTTATCAAGGAACTAACTAATTATTATTAAAACAAAGTAGAATTTGAATCTTACCGAGTACAGTAGAATATTCGCACTTTGATTAATGGCAAAAATGTAATAATGGTTTCCGAATAAGTTGTTTTTCTTTCTCTAGGTTTCCTTTCCATATTTTTTGTGTACTTAGTGTATTTTTTATATGACCTATTTACATTATTCATTGTACTATTTTGCTTTTCTTCTGTTGTTTATGGTACTTGCTGCTGCGTTTTACACTTTCAGCTTTAATAATTTTCAGTGTTCTTCAGGAGCTAGTTTTAGTGGGTTTATCATTATTATCATCTTTTATACTGATCCTATCGCATGGTTCCTTCTACCACATATAAACGGCCACTCATTACAGACCAGATTATTACCAAGGTGAGATGTTTTGGCACCACACACTGCTTCTTCCAATTTATTCCTTACATCTCTATGAGTGAACTTAATTATGCACCATGATTATTCACTAATTGTTATGCAACCCAATCAGCAGCTCTGTATCACTGTGAAGATTCTTTCAAGGCATTTGAAATTCAAAAAAATATAATTTCTATAGTAAAAGCCACAGTTACAATGCAGTGCAGATAAGATAGGAGATAGGCAATGTATTTCTTAAGGGGAACGGCCGGCCACGTTGCCGCCACGTGAACGGCAACTATAAAAAAAAGGAAATAAAAGGGTACTTATACAAATCTCTTGGGACAAACAAAATGAAAATAAACCGGAAACACTTCAAGGAATTTAATATAGGACGTCACTTGAGGTGCCTAATTATACCTATTACAACCACTAGCTGTAACTAGGGAAATAATTATAAAACATCGGAAACATATGTTTTTCAAATAAAACTCAAAATAGATGAGAGAAACAAATTAAACATTTATTTTTGTCTCAAACAAACAGTTATCAAAAATACAGATTTTACAAGAACATATTATACAACATAATTCAAATTAATAAAAACTTACATGTTCTTTGTTTACATAAAAGATTGCTACAAAAATTTTGAAATGGTTCCTAGGTTATATATGGCCAATTTAGATTATCAAAATTTTATGGATATCCTTTTTATGAAAATATTATTGAATTTAACCTTATATATGAAATATCTTTTATATATAAAAATCAAATTTAAATTGTTTTACATAAACAATGGATTACAGCAAATGTCATATGTCAACATAACATTTCAAATCAGAATAAAATATGACATTTTTTAGCTACGACAGCATAATATAAAACTTTTAATTATTACAATTTCTTTGATGTTTAATGAAAATGTTATATAATAGTATATGATATTATGGTTTTATTGTTTACTAATATTATACTTTTTCAGCTGTACAGAATGAAAGAGACCGAATAAGTTGTCGAAGGCCTAGTTACGAAGAAAACAATCAAAATAACGGGTTATCAGTGGGATCATTATTAAATGCAGAAATGCTTTCTAGGCAGGTAGGAGCAGCATTGGAGGTAAGACTTTTATTAGAGTTACAATATTTGTCCTGAATTTTTACAAAAAAAAACCTTAATAAATCATCGGCTATTCAATTTTGGTTGTGAAAGAATAGTGGGTACTTATTATTGGATAAAAAATACCAGAACTTGGAATTTTTCATGTTTACATACAGCTATTAAAGATAAATAGGTGAATCTTTTCTTAAAAATATAAAAAAAACTAATAATATATTTTTTAAGTCATAAATTTATTATGAGTAAAGGTAAACAATATGTAAAAACAAATAAAATGTCAAAATGTGATTTAATTTATATAGGAAAGCAGTTGGAACAAGAACAGTTACTAAAATACCATATATTCTTTTTGCATAAAAGGTAAATTAATTTGGTTTTTATAGCTCTTTGCTAAGATCAGTTCCATGCATAACATTCATTGGATTTTTTTCCGAACTCTATCGTCCATTTGATTTTATTAAATTAAATTTAGACTTCAAGGATAACTTTTACTATTGGTTGATTGTAGAATCAGCATGTTCTTGCAAATTCTAATCTCTGCTGTTCAAGTCGGTTTTTTTAATACTAAAAAACTGATTTGTTTTAAATTTTATAATAGATATAGATATTAATATATATATATATATATATATATATATATATATATATATATATATATATATATACGTATATATACGTATATAATCTAATACGTTTTAGGTTAAATAATTATTAACTATATTATACCGTCAGGATTTTACGACAAAGTCTAAATACTTTTAGTATTAGGAGTTATGTAACAATTGTTACATAAATGTGGTATGTAACAATTGTTTTTGGAGTTACGAGTTTTATCGATAAATGATAACGGAGTTACGTGTTTTTACAATGGTGGTTTACATAAGAATGGTATGGAACTTCTGGGAGTTAAGTGGTCAGGTTTTCAAATAAAGCTGACCACAAACAGGATTTTGTTTTGTTTGCAGGAGAAAAATGTCTACGAGAACAAGAAAAAATTTAGAATTAGCAAAATGTGCAGCTAAATCGTTTCAAGACCTTACATCTATACCAACAGAGAAACAAATCAACTTAACTTCCGCGGCTAACGCAGCAGTTGACAGCAGTGATTCCAAATCAGATTTTTTAATAGAGAATGGTAATGGTATCCTACTTCCGGTTCAGATCTAAAATGAAGTCACTTTAGATAACTCCGGTTTATGCAACGACATAGTAGCAGAATGCACCACACAATCACTTGAAGAAAACGAATCTTTTCCAGCAGAGGGACAATCGAACTCAACTCCAGACAACAAAAATGTTGGAAGCGATAATTTTCAATCTGGATTTTTCATTGTAAAATGTGACGGCGCCTTATTTCCAATACAGACAGTTCTAGGAGGAGGATTGAAATTGATGAACCACATGCAATAATTGACGGTCAAGAAATAGTGGAACCAGATAGGTTATCTGATAGTAACGATCAGCTCTCAAACAGGAAAAGAAAAAAACGACAGCAGTGCAGTTATAAGTAACGCCCTCTTACATGTGGCCGTTAAACACAAAATAAGTATAGAGAGTAAATATCTCAAAAAGGGTCACACTCAGATGGAGTGTGACTCAATGCATGGGACCATAGAACCATATTATAAAAGACAGAGAAATTAATGTGCCGGCAGACTACATTGACGTATGCAAAAATGCAAGGCAAAGTAGTCCATACAAAGTGATGTATTTGGATCACTCTTTTTTCAAAGAGTTTACGAAACCATAAGTGTTCAAATCAATTCGTCCTGGTATTAGAAAAGAGGACCCCAAAATCACAGACATCATATGCTTGAAATATGATGCTAATGGAAAAATACACTAATGTCCTTCAACGATGACTTCAAACTACTACAGTCGTGTGATGATAGTAAAGACACGGTTGATGAAGGATCCAGAAAATAAAAAAAAAAGCCCAAAATCTAAATAAAGCTTTGTCCAGTTACCAGGACAAAGTTCGAGAACTCTTTGAAGCTAACTCTCCATCACTCTACAATGACGGAGTGAAAATTACTGCAGCTGAATATCAACATTTACAAGAACTGAAACTGAGTATTGCAAATGACTATCACTCATTTTATGATAATTTACTCATGTAACAAAAATTTGTAATTTTTATAAAACAAATGTAATACACGTTTTCAATCCAAGTTGTACTGTCCTTATTTTATTTCTCCTTTGTAGATAATATTTTTAACATTGGGTCAAATGAAGATAGTTCAAATTAACAGGATATTAGGTTTAAAACCACTTAACTCCTAATTTGCTTGTAAATCACGTATCTATTAAAGTAGTACCGCATAACTTCATAACTAAATCTGGAAAAGCTCCTAACTCCAATAAAGAATTATATTTTAGGTGTATTTATACAAATAAAAGATCTACCGATATTAGACTTATATTTATTGTATTTTTAAAAATATAAAGTCAGTAAGGCCTACTTTTTCAAAGCTATTTATTTTTTTGTTGCTCCTGTAAAAACAGGATAATGTGAGTTACCTGGTTTGTTAATTAGGCCGTCCATAATTTTAAATTAATTAAAAGTTTGCACTTAATTTTTAGCAACTGGTTTCAATATTGAAAGTGTATCCTTTGCTAAAAAAAATGTATTCTAAAATCAGTTGTTTATTCCGTATAAATATTTAATACATGATAATGATGCAGAACATCTTTATTGTCTATTTATTACGTTCTTTTATGAATAATACTAATTCTGATATTTTTTAGCAAATGGGTCCAAATCCAGTAAATGAATACGACATATCAGGGAGACAATTGGCCAGTATAAACGACGTGTGTGAGTCAATGAAACAGCAACTTTTAATATTAGTGGAATGGGCTAAATACATCCCTGCCTTCACAGAGTTACAGTTGGACGATCAGGTAAATAACCAACTATTTATTTATTAGGTAGTTAAATAAGACGGACAAATGGGGAAATAGGCGATTAATTGTTTTATTACATATAAACATCATCAATTTCACAGAGGTTTGATTGACGATCCAGATACATGCAGATAATAATTGAGAAAAATGTAAATGGTAGACGTTTAAAACAATCGTTTGTAGAATTTTACAATAAGTGCTAATTGAAGACAACGAATTGGCTTGACTCAATTGACATAAACTGGTGAAATATGAGAATTGTTGGGTGCATTCTATATTTATTAAAACATTTATTGTGTAATAATTTGTGGTTGGACATACAGATTGAACGAAATAAATTCGGAACATACGAAATATTATGTATTTCGGCTCAATTCTGCTGTAGGTGGTTGGCCAACAAAAGGTTGTCAAATAATTATATTATAAAAATCCAATACTTCAGCGGGCTGCTAGATTCTAAAATCATAAAAATTGAAAGCTACACATAAATCTACGATTTTATGATGCTGTCAAACCACTTATAGTCCAGGAAATGAAGCATTTCACCACATTTTTTCACATTTTTGTTCGTCCTGCGTGGATTGACTTGAAATTTTAACAGAAGGTAGGTAATAGCCTAAGGATCAAAATCTATATCGAACCAAAGTGCGCCAAAGCCTTGGGGGTGGTTGCCACTCCATCTCGGGGGTGAAAATTTTTTTTACGTTTTAACTACAGGTTTCGATTAAAAAAGATTCTAAACAAAAAACGTTTTATACATTTTTTTTGTAAAACTGATATTTTTCAAGTTATTCGCGATTGAAAGTAACAACTTTTAGACGAAAAAATCGACGTTTTTAATCGATTTTTCGCGAATAATTTGAAAATGGTGCATTTTATCATAAAAATTGTAGAGAACAAATTTGTAGCTTTTAAAAAGACAAATACAATTCATTTTTTAAAATGTTTTTGCGATATAATAGGAACCGAAATACGACCTATCAATGTTCAGGGTTTTCTTCAAATGACAAATTTGAAAGATTCAAAGTCAAATATCGGGAAAATGATGCATTTTTGGAAGCAAACTCAAAAATTGAGTGAGTTATGATGATAATTTTTTTTGTATTTAATTCTACTTTTTTCAATTTATATCTATTAAATTAGTTTATAAAAACTGCAGTGTTGTAAAGGGTGATTTTCAAAAGTTGAAAAGTTGCAAAATTTTGGCAAAAAATTGTTTCCACCTATAGCACTCATAACAATTGATTTTTAAGGGTTGAGAATGTATGAAATTGTATTTTAAAGCAAAAAAAAAATCACTATTTAACTTATCCAAACCAAATTTCACTCATCTTAAGATTTGTAATGTTATTTTACAATTTTTGAAAATTAGGGGTAATTTTCACCCTAAGAACAATCAGGGTTCATCGGTATGACATAAACTATAAAGCAGAGGGTGAGTTGAGCTTAATTCCAAATTTTCATGCAAATCGTTCCAAGGCGAAATCATTTTCTTCGCATTAGTAATTTTTTTTACATTAATCTCTAACAAGGGTCCCTTTTTAAGGGTTGAAATATGATGCAACTTCATTCAAAGGCACGAAACTATCATTATTTAATTAATTCAAACCAAATTTTACCCATATTCAGGTTTAATATGTTATTTTATAATTTTTGACAATTAGGGGTAGTTTTCACACCTAAGAACAATCAAGGTTCGTCGACATGACATAAACTATAAAGCAGCGGGTGAATTGAGCTTAAATCCAAATTTTTATTCAGATCGATCCAAGGCGAAATCATTTTTTTAGAATTAGTAATTTTTTTACATTAATCTCTACCAAGGGTTGCTTTTTAAGGGTTGAAATATGATGGAACTCTATTCAAAAGTATAAAAAAATCATTATTTAACTAATTCAAAACCAAGTCTTACCCATATTCAGGTTTAATATGTTATTTTATCATTTTTGACAATTAGGGGTAGTTTTCACCCCCAAAACCCTTCAGCGCACTTCGGTTCGATATAGATTTTGATCCTTGGGCTATCACCTACCTTCTGTTAGAATGTCAACTCAATCCATGCAGGACGAAAAAATTGCGAGGTTTTAACTTTTTTCGAGCTTCATTTCCTGAACTATTATCGCTTCCTTAAACAAGCCCTTCTTTGAGCGGTGTTGCCAACCTCATTGGTAAGGTGTTAACCAGAAAATATTTACAGGACAGAAAGGAAATAACTACAAACCATTAAGTTTATTTTTGTTATTAGTCTGTTGTAGTAGATTGGTAAATACAATAAAAATATAGGCAAATATCCGATTTATTTAAAGATACGAACAAGATATAACTCTCAAAAAGATCCGCAAATCGGATTATTACACGGCGATTGGCAACATTGTTGCGATACATATAGTTGAAACGATATTTTATACAATGTATGATTTTATTTTTGTCCAAGTTTTATATTGGTCCACTATTTCAAGTGCAGTTCAAACAGACATGTATTAAATTGTATGTTCCGTTTTAAATTCGTTAAATCTGTATAAAATCAAGTATGTAAAATGTAATAACAAGAATTCGTGATTACTACATGAACACTAATAATATGGCAATTCTTTAAAATATGAATTATAAGAACAAATAATTAGCCAAAAGAATTAGCAGATATGAATAAATGAAATCGTACAATTTGACCGCAGACAGAGTGGCCTGTCTGCTGCAGTACTGCAGAGTTGATCTCGTCAATTTGTTGAGCGTGTGTGACCGTTTACAATTTGTCGATACTGCAAAAATACATTTTTAACTACACACTTGCTTTGGATCATATAGAAAATCGACATAGCTTCATTTAGTGAGAATTTTTTAAGAGAGTTTTATTAATTATATAAAGAACAAGAATGCTTATGGCGAATTACAGGTAAAACGTATCACGATAGAAACGCCCGAAAACAGGCAATGGACATTCTAGTTTTAAAGTTCCAAGAAGTAAACAAAGATGCGAATGATGAGTATGTAAGAAAAAAATTAACAATTTTAGAACATCCTATAAAAGAGAATTAAAATTAGTATTGCAGTGAAGTAAATCAGGTGCAGAAACAGACGAGATTTATTTTGGACCAAAATCTTGCATTCTTTGCACCAAAATCTGCGTTTCATTTTAGGTTTCTTTTTACGCTTAGTTATGCACAAAGTAAGAGACCCTAAAATGATTGTTTGATTTGACATGGTCAAGAACCGAACAAATACTGCGGCGCAGTATGGTGTGTGGGCCCACCAGATATGCCAACAAATTGAACAACGCCGCTGTCCGATTATGTCGAACGACACCGCTGTACCGTGAGTGGCCAGCTTTACATTTCGAGCGTTGGCAACACTGAAGCTGTCAATTGCCATTTGACGTTTCCACTAGAAATTTTGATATTTTTGCATCGAGTTAGAATCTAAGAATCTAAGATTCTAACTCAATGTATTTTTGACACAACCTTTTTTATTTATCATTTGGACTCGATTTGTACTGTAATACTGTGTACCGTCACTTGAAAACTGTGTTTTGGCAGACGAAGCTCCACGCTTTTATCATCGTAAGGGGTTCGACAATCCGGTGTAGATCTTGGCCTGTTCACAAAGAAGTCGATTCCTGGCAACTCCTCCTCATCTTCTAACCCTTAGAATCTGTAGGTCTTCATCCATATCATCAATCCATCGCATTCGTGGTCGTTCTCTGCTTCTTGTGCCCTCTGGTTTTGAAAATGTTAATCTCTTCGTGGATTCGTGATCTGACACCCTAGCAATGTATCCAGCCCATATAAGTCTCTGCACTTTAACGAATTTCATAATATCTGGATCGGTATATAACTGATATAGTTCAAAGTGTATCTTCGACGGCATAGCTCATTTTCATTTACGACCCCATAAATCATTCTAAGAATTTTTCTCTCAAAAATACCAAGAAGTCTTTCATCATTTTGAGATAAGGTCTACGTTTTAACTCCATATATCAAAACCGGTCTTATTAAGGTCCTTTATATATTGAGTTTTACTGCACGTTTTGTTTTTATTTTTTTAAATGTTTCTGTTTACTCGTGATCCAAGATATGTGAATTATTTGACTTCCTCAAAGGTATGGCTGTTAATTGGAATGCTATGTTGGATATTTCGGGGTTTCTGGGGTATTTAGAACATACATATTTGGTTTTTTCCTAGTTTACCACAAGTCCTAATTCTCACTTGTCGCATCCGCAAGCCTTGTAAAGCATTGTACCACGTCTTTTATACTTCTGCCCACCCGAGAATTTTTCCAAGGCAATATTAAAGAGGAGACACGCCAGTGAGTCCCCATGTCTTAGACCATTATTAATGTTAAAGAACGTAGAGTGTTCTCCTTTAATTCTAACGCATGAGCTTACGTTTTGCATTGTTAGTTAGGTCAACTTAACTAACTTAAAAAAAATATAGTGGCTTTTCTAGAAGTCTGTTCTTAATGTGCTTAAATTTGATGTGTAGTTGACTTTCCAGCATTAAATCCGCGTTGATATTGACCAACAATATCTTTTGTAAAAGATATTGTTGCAGATTTTATTTGCAGATGCTAACAGAGTAACGCCTCTATATTTCTTACACTCCAGTTGATCACCCTTTTTATGCAACGGACATATTATTCCTTTTAGCCACTCTTCTTGTACCAATTCATTCTGCCATATATAATATATATATATATATAATATATATATATATATATATATATATATATATATATATATATATATATATATATTCGTATGAACTTTACACATTGCAGTTTTTACATAAAGAAAAGGAAGAAAAAAGTGACAATAACAATAATAAATAAGTAAGTAAATAAGTAAACACTGACACAGAACATATAAAATTAAAATTTTTAAAATTAAAGTCGAAGGTTACATCCTCGAAGCCAATTTGTCGCCTTGGGAGTAAGTTGGTGGATTTCTTGAAGGCTGCCAAAGAACTTGGTGGCTGGACACTCGAAGACGATGTGGTTAATTGTTTGTTCAGCGGCGCTGCATTTGTCACATTCCGGGCTGGCATTTATACCCCATTGATTCAGCGATTTGTTACAAATTCCATGACCAACTCGTATTCTATTTAGGTTGCACCATTCACGACGGGGAAGAGAAAAGCCGTCTGGTTTGATTGTGGGGTTTTCTATCAGATTGGAATTTCTGATGTCTGGATTCCATTCGCCCATCCAGTGCTCTTTGGTAGTGAAAACAGACAATTTTGTAGCAGTTCTAGTAGTTGGATGTCTGGATTTCAGTCTTAACTGCCTTTGTGTAGTTCAGCGATGTCTGTGTTTATTCAGCCATATAAATACTATTAGTTTATGTATTGCTGCAAAAAGTTGATCACCACCTTTTTTATACATTTCCGAATAGTTTCCATCGATTCCTAGGGCTTTATTGTCTTTGAGTTTTAGGATGGCATTTGACTTTTCTTCTCTTGTTGGGCCTTCAGTGTGTAGTAAAAGTTGTAAATTTTGATTGTCTATGTTGTAACCTCCTTCAATATTGTTTATATTTAGATTCAGTTCGCTGAAATGTTGTGCCCATCTGTTTAGCTCCAGGCTTTGCCACTGTATCTCCTGTTGCTCTCCAGAATCTCTGTCTCCTGTTGCTGACAAAGAATGTAGAACGTAGAACCATTTTAATTAATTTTAAATTATTTTTCCTTATTTTAGTGTAATGTTTTGTACAATTTTATGTTAAAATTCATGTTTATCACATTCTACGCATGCTGGATAGCCCAAATTTGACGAAATGCACCTGAAGATGCTGTAGTAAGCGAAAGTACTTGGGCAAGATTTAATTGTTAAAATTGTACTCGATATTTGCCTTTCACTTTTCAAAGTTTAAATAGTGGAAGTGTATACTAAACCCATAAAATTTTGGGTAGTATATATTTAAAAAATATATTTCACTTGTTTTAATTTAACATAACTATTTTTTTAACCCCTCTGTGGCTCAGTGGTAAGAGCGCCTACCTTTAAACCTAAAGGTCGTGAGTTCGAATCTCACCTGGGTGGAGAAATTTTCGTTTATTAAAAAAATTAATGAATGAAAATAATTTCTATCCTTGTGCGATCGGTACTCACCGGAGGGACCGCAGACGTTCAGATATAATTAGCGTCTCTTAGCAAAGACAATGACGTCGACTTTTCTGAGTATCAAGACAATTACTCTACACACACACTACATTAATAAACTTATCTTGATTGAGACTGGCTGAATGACAATTGTCCAAGCCAAAACACACAAAAAAAACATAACTATTTATTATATGGTGCAGATAAATAAATATTGATTGTCGGTAATTCGTAAAGTTCTATTTTATTTACTATTTAATTTGTTTACTATTAATATTGGCTATGAGTACGTGTGCTTGGTTATATAGTAATTTCCAGCCACTTTTAGTCTGTCAAAAAGTAATTAACTTCGCAAAAAAAATACTAAAATTCACTATACTTCATCTAATTTACTTACCGTTGCACGTCATTATCATTGACAGAGATCGACGTTGACATAGTTGCCAAAGTACAAAAAAATCCTGACTCCATTTTAAATCAAATAGGTCACATAATTATTGCAAAAGTATTACCATCTCTTTACAACGACTATTTAAATTATTACGTGACATTTTTAAAACAAAACACACTAATTTTGTTCTAAAAAGAACAGACTTTATTAAAGAGGTAAAAATATAAAACAAGAGATATATCAAATAAGTGTTACCAATTTATGCCAAAATATCACCTTCGTTCGCGTTCGATTACAGTTACAGTGTGTTCCGAACAAATGTTCTTCATAAAAACGCTTTATAATGCATTTATACAAATTAAATGAAACATATTATTGTGTATTTTTTTAAGTTAACATTAATAGAAATCTTTAAATATTATTTCTACACGTATATAATAAAATATGTCTAGTGGTGTAATGTCAGTGTACTCGGCAAAGTGATTCTAAAAAAGAACACACCTACCGCCTAAATATTTCGTGTTGGTATCATGTGACCTCACGGTCTATGACACGGATGACGTGCAACTGTAAGTAAATTAGATGAAGTATAGACAGTTTGGACGATAGATAAATAATATAATATTAGAAAGTTCGGACTGGGAATAGCGAACCGACTATACCTGTAAAATATATATGTTTTATATGCTTTTATGTTATAAAAATAATATTTTTTAATTTTACACTGTTACACGTCATTATATCTTTTATTCAAATGTAAATAACAACGAAGATAAATAAATATTGTACATGTATATGTACCAACAGAATGTTTTTCGTATATCACTGAAATTCCGGAAACAAGATCGGCCATTGTTACTAGCTACTTTGGACGCAAGTATTTATTCATAAGTTCCATCCTTAGTATCCTTACCACAGAATAATAAACAATCAGAATGTCCACTCTCAGATGCCGCCTTTGAAGTTTTTCAGCACGCGCGCCATGTTTTAGAAGGAAACACATAACACAGACATATGATTTGTGAGGTTATGTAATTGTTTATATTTATGTTTAATTATATTATATTTATGTTATTATATTTAACAATGTTAATGTAATTGTATAGTATGTCTGTGATTGCCGTAAGTCAATTAAACCAGGTTAATTTTTCTATGTACACCACATAAACAACACTGGTTCCCTCTAAAACATGGCGAAACGTCTGCGCGAAGGAGATGCGCGTACTTAATTTTCCATGGAAAGTGGGCATTCTGATTGTTTATTATTCTGTGTCCTTACTATATTTATATTATATTGATGTCATTGTCAATATTGAGATTGTTAGTAGACATATAGTAAACAAGTTAGGTTATGTATATATCATTCTAAATGTCTAAAATCCCAAACCACGTTATTTTATTTTTATAGATTATTTTAAGTTTTTGATTTTTTGATGGTTTCATATTTGCATATAAAAAGTACAGTTATTTTTGTTTTAATAGCATAGACTATATGACAAGTAAAGTAATTATTGTTGTATATTACCCAGATGGTTATATCGGAAAATGTTATGTTTTAGGTGGCTCTTCTTCGAGCACATGCAGGTGAACACCTTTTATTAGGATTGGCCAGGAGGTCTATGCATCTAAAAGACGTTCTTCTGCTAGGAAATAATTGTATAATAACAAAAGAATGTCCAGGTAAACTTGGTTTTTTGTATATGCACGAATAAATTTGTGGTTTTAGTTGAAGTTAAGGAATTATACTTTCTGGACGGTTTTTATGAAACGATTATTTGATTATTGTCTTATAAATTTGTTATTATTTGATTAATTATATCTTTTTTAATATTACGACTAATGATTTTCTTTGTGATTTCATATTAGAATTTTTAAAAGCTAAATCAAATTTACTTAGCCTTTGATTCGAACTTGTTGTAGAGCGATTATAAGAAATTATTCCCAAACCTTATTAGTTTTCTGACTCATCAGTACAGTATACATAGATGAATACTTTAAACTCTATTGCTGTGATTAGCTACTAATTTATGTGACAAAGGTGGACACCGTGAGATAATTTTGTGCGGTCTAGTTTGGTAAAAGTATAAAGAATCTTTGTACATTTTTCTTACTTTAATCTTAGATTTTTTTATTTTTTACCTTAAGATCGTTTAATCGCTGAATGTTAGGCTATTTTCATCATAATCGACCTGCTGTATTTGTCTTTGACTTATTTTTCTGGTAAATCTTAGGTTGTTTTATAAACTAAAATTTAAAAAGGCTATCTTTGGAGACACCCTGTAAACACTGCCAGCCTTCATTGCATGCTCAATTAGTGTGTTCGTCAAAAACAATTAATTTATTGCAAGTGTTTACTATTTTAGGTCACCAGGTGAGTTGACACGTGATTTTAATTGCCCATGTTTCGTAAATGATGTATCACATAAATTGTTATAGTAAATTAGATAGCAATTAATTTCTCGGAATAAAAAACATATCGTTTGTCCACTATTAGTTGCATATTATAGCTTGTTTTTATACTCGTTGAAGACGAAAATGATTCAGCACATTCAAATAAGTAATTTCATTTACACTATCATTTGGTGTAGTTACAAAAAACCGGATTCTGATATTACATGTTTACGGATGTGTTTTTTGTGCTTGATTTTGTGGAAAAATTGTATAATTAAATACTTCTTAATGTTTTCTTTCAGGCTGGGTTTTTTTTTATTGTTTTGCATTTTTCGCTACATTCCTCTTCATTTTGATTATAAACAAAATGGCGATTTTTTAAAAAACCATATTATGCTACTCTTCGGTTATTGTTTTTTAATTAAAAATATGTGTTCATTTAAAAAAGGGGGCTGTATCTTCTAAATTTGTGATTTTACAAACAAGTAGTAATATATAAAAAAGTTACAAACTATGTATTTCAATCTATTGACATCCCTTTTTTAATCCAAAATTATACTACAAAAAAGTTGGGGGAAGGGGAATATCTTCGGTTTTATTGGCCATTGCATCTTCTTCTTCTTCTTCAGCCTGTGTTCGTCCACTGCTGGACATAGGCCTCTTCCATTTGCTTCCATCGATTTCTACTTTTTGGCAATTCTCATCCACTGCTTGCCCGCGACTTGTTTGATATCGTCTGTCCACCTCTTCTGCGGTCTGCCTACTCCTCGCCTGTTCTCTCTTGGTCTCCAGTTTGTTAATCTTTGTGTCCATTTTTCGGGATTATCTCGGGAAACGTGTCCGACCCATTGCCACTTGAGCCTTGCAATACGTTCTGAGACATCAGTAATTTTTGTTCTTTCACGAATGACGTTATTTCGAATCCTGTCTCTCAAACTAATCCCTAGCATGGCCCTCTCCATTGCTCTTTGGGTTGTACTGAGCTGCTCTAAGGTTTTCTTTGTGAAGGCCATGGTCTCCAGTCCATATGTAGTTACAGGCAAGATACATTTGTCATAAACTCTACGTTTTAGACACATTGGTATATCTTTATTCTTCAAAATAAAGCTTAATTTGCCGAAAGCTCCCCAAGACAGTTGTATGCGTCTTTTTATTTCGGCTATTTGATTTTCTTTACCGATTTTAATGGTATGTCCAAGATATATATAGTGGTCTACATTTTCAAGACTGACGTTGTCGATAACAAGATTAGTTTGTAAATTACTCATTATTTTTGTTTTCTGAAGGTTCATTTTGAGACCTATTTTATTTGACTGCTGGTTTAATTCCTTCAACATTTGCTCCAGTTCCTTGATATCTGTACTAAATAATACTATGTCATCCGCAAACCTCAAATGACTCAAACGTACACCATCAATGTTTAGACCTTTTTCCTCCCAGTCAAGCTGTTTGAATACATTTTCCAATGCTAAGGTAAAAAGCTTTGGGTGAAATAGTATCACCTTGTCTAATACCTTTATCAAGGCGCATTTTTTCAGTTTTTTCGTCTTCATTGATTTTGATGTGGAATGTGGCCTGTTCATAAATGTTTTTAATGAGTGTAGTGTACCGTGAGTCTATTCGAGCATCCTTCAGGGCTGACAAAAAGGACCAAGTCTCAATACTATCGAAAGCCTTGTGAAAGTCGAAAAATGCCATATGTAAAGGTACATTATATTCTGTGGTTTTTTCTACTAGTGTTCTGATGGTTTGTAAGTGATCATTAGCACCAAACCCTTTTCTAAATCCCGCCTGTTCAACCGGTTGATATAAATCAAGTTTTTGTGTTATGCGGTTGGTTATTATTCTTGTTAACAATTTGTATAAGTGTGACAACAAAACTTATAGGTCTGTAGTTTTCAATATTAGTAGTGTCTCCTTTCTTGTGTAAAAGTATTATTTCGGCGTTTTCCCATAGGCTGGGTATTCTTTTTTCTGTTAGACACTTATTCAGTAAGACTTCCACAACTTCTACAACGATGTTGCCGCCCATTTTTTAACATTTCAGACGTTATAACGATCCTCGCCGGGAGCTTTTTTGTTTTTCATTTGCTGAACGTTTGTATTTCCTTGATTATTTGAGCTTTTTCGGTCACCGTATTCCCCGGTTGATTTTTGATTTTAGTTGTACTTGATTTTCCTTTAGTTAAATTTGATTTCAATACTCTCATGTTTCTATTGTTTTCGATGGTTTGCAATATTTGTTTTGTTTTATAAGCCCGCAAGTCTGACCTTATGCTCTTTTTTAACTTTATTGTTGATAGCTTTATACTCTGGTAATTCTTTCGATGTTCTTCTTCTTTCTTCCATTAAATTAAGTGTTGTTTGTTTCATTTTCGTTTTTCTGGGATTTTTATTTTTATCACAGATCTTTTTTGCTGTTGATGTTATGTCGTTCGTTAATTTTTGTGTTATTTCATTTATATCTTTCGTGTTGAATACTGGTAGAGATCCTAGTTTCTTTTTTAGTTCACTTTGATATTCCTCTTGATTCATTTCGAGTGCTTCTATGTTTGTCAATTTATCCTGTGTTAATAATTTTCTTCTATTATTGCATTGCATACTAACTCATAATACAGCACGTTAAGTTTTGGATTAGATATTTATAACTACATAAAGCGCTAAAATCGGCAACATTACCTCGTACGAGGTAATTGTACGATCCTCTTGACTCCTAGACAGAAAACGGGAAAACCATTTAGTAACACATAAGAACGCAAGAACTCTGTATCTCCACCCATCCATTTTTGTTTTGCTTACGGTTACCCGGTTTATTTCTTATAACACAAACTTCATACAAATTCACTGACCATTAAAAGACGGTGCATTTGTATCGGTTTTTTATCCGAATTTGTAGGGCAATTCTCTATGCCCTACAGATATGATTCAAATATTTGGTCTTCTACGGCTGAACAGTATCGCAATCTGTCATAAAAACTTCTGCGGACAGTTGTAAGAGTTTCTGCTGTAATAGAATTAGAGACTTCCCTTATTCCATTTCTTAATTCATCCAAATTTTGGGCTCTAGCCTTAGGATGATCGTAGATGATGCTTTTTAAATGTTCCCAAAAAAAGAAGTTCATGGGTGTAAGATCTGGAATTAATTCTCCCTTTTAAGCTTAACCATAATTAGTAAAGTAGCTAGTGGTCGTAGTATCAGACAAATTTATTATGCGACTAAACCGTCCAGAAAAATATTCTTTAAACTTAAAAAAAACTACATATACTGAAGTAACTGTGATCAGAATAACAGAATAAGTTGAGAGAGCTGAAATAAACGATTACCTAATAGTATTAAAATATATTCAAATGATGAATAAAAAAAGCCACTCATCACAATTCATAAATTAACCAAAACAAAAAGTTAACTTTTTTTGTTTTAAATAAATGGCGAGATTTGGTACACTTACTGACAGTGTTTCATGTATATTTATGTGATTATTTAGAATATTCGACGTTATAATATATTCTTTAATAATCTTCTTCTTCATCGGAGGATGGATATCATCATCACTATCTTTACTTTATCTACTGCTGCTCTGAATAGTTCTATAGAACTGCATTTAAACGAGTCTCTTAAATTCTTCAACCATACACATAGATCTTCCTTTAATTATTATTCCTTCACTTTGAGATAGTAATACTTCTTCAAAAATGGCTTCACTATATACATTAAATAGTTATGGGGAAATAATACAAACCAGAAAACTGAAATACCTAGGCCACGTGATGAGGGGACCAAAATATGAAATTTTGAGACTGATAATACAGGGAAAGATTCAAGGAAGAAGATCTGTTGGCCGAAGGCAGAACTCATGGTTAAAGAATCTACGTGATTGATATCAATGTAGATCGATTGATTTGTTTAGAGCAGCAAGTTCTCAAATAAAAATAGCCATTATGATTGCCAACCTCCGTAGGGAGACGGCAGTCTAAGAAGAAGAAGGGTACATAATACATTCCTGCCTAACTCCTCTCCTGATTTCAATTTCTGAACTGGGTTCGTTATCTATTACGATTTGTGCTCTTTGATTCCAGTAGAGGTTTGTTATGATTCGTAAGTCCTTATGGTCTATGTTTTTTGTCTTTAGAATTTGGACCAATTTTTATGTCTTACTTTGTCAAATGCTTTTTTAAAATCAATTTAACAAACATCCACATCAACATTCATATCCATGCATCTTTGTGCTAACACATTAAAATCAAATAACGCTTCTCTGGTTCCTAGTCCGTTTCTGAACCTAAACTAT